TACAAAACAAACGATCTATGGCTACAACCACTGGCTGTTATATGCCTATATAATTAGAGAAAAAACACTTTATTTTCCAGATCTCTCACTGGGTTCTTATGTAACATTGAGGGCTAGACGCATTACCTCACTTCAGAGCTTATTAGCTTTTTAAAAACCCAATCTTATGCTAAATATCAGTCATACTACTGAGATATTTCACACAGTTACCTCATTGTAACTCTGTCCAGCTTTCAGGCCATAATATACATTAAAACATTTTAAAGGGTTTAACATGGCAACAAGCAAGTTCAGGTTACATAAATATTTAAAATATTTATATTCCAGTTTTCTCTTCAAGTGGACCCAAGGCAGCATACAATATTAAAACAGTATTAAAAGCTAAAGAAACAAAACATTTCAAAATAATTAAACTGATAATTAAATAGAATAATGAAACTGATATATTAAAATTAGTCAATAAAACGGGTTAAAAATTAAAAAACCCCAAGAAAAACACAAGAGTCCCATTCTTTAAAAACACCTTGGTCTTGTTTGGGGTAATTTTCTTTAAAAACCACCACCACCACCACCCTCTTAGACAGACAGTCAATCAGAGAAATTCTGCCTGAAGAAAAAGTCTTTGCCTGCTTTCGGAAGGATAGCAAAGATGGGGCCAGAGTTCCATAGTTTGGGAGAACTAGTAGAAAAGGATTTCTCTTGTGTCTTCACCAAATGCACCAGTGAGGGTGGTGGAACCGTAAGAAAGGCATCCCTTTATGATCTTAAAACTGAAGCAAGCTCATATCAAGAGATATAGCCTTTATGACAGCTGGGATCCAAGTTGTTTAGGGCTTCAGAAGTTAAAACCAGTACTTTGTATTGTGCCCTGAAATGGAACTATCTAAAAGCAACATCTTGGACCTAATTTAGTTTCCAACCACTTTCCAAGTCAGCCCCACATAGAGTATGTTACAGTAATTCAAAGAGGATGTAACTGTGTCTATCAGTGTATCAGTGATGTATCAGTGTGGTCAGATTAAGACATCTCAAGGAATGGGCAAAGCCAGCACACTAGCTTTAACTGTGCAAGTGTATTCCTGACCACCACTGAAACCTGGGCATCCAGGCTCAGTGATGGATCCAAGAGCATAAGCAAACTGTGCACTTGTGTTTTCAGGGGGAGCTTAGTGCCATCCATCACAGGATGATTGCCTCTTCTCTGATCTATGTTTCGACTAGGAGTCTTGTCTGAGTTAATTTTCAGTTGATTCACCCTCACTCAGTCCACTGATAGCAGAATTTGAAAGTACAGTACATATGAAATATATTATTTTTGTGACTATATCAATGGTGTGATTTGCAAATATGTTAAAATTTTAAAATTTTAAATTTAGTGTATACCTTAGTATTGCATCTTCTTAGGGGAAATTAGGAGTAGTATCTTACACTATTATTTGAAGGAGAATGGTTCGTATTTTTTATATATCCTAAAGAAAGCAATGTTGAGAATATACATGATAACCCTAGACGAAGACAATAAACTGTTTTCATAAGATTTAAAACAGAGCATTAAGTCTAAAAAGAAGTAATGTACAGTATTACACTCAGAGTTATATACTGGACTCAGAGGAAAAAAGTAATTAGAACTCAGCACTTAGAAATTAATAAATATGCATCAAGGAAAATTGCATGCTGTCAACCAAAAATATTATGCAAACTGGAAAATACACAATGTAAGAAAAAATATGCAATTTTGCACAAACATTTGAATATTTTCTTATTTTGATATTTATAGGGAAGGCCAAGGAGTTATATAAGGAACTAAAGCCCTGATCCTAGTCAGTAGGGATTACATTCCTATACTTCTCTGGCTTTTAGATTTCAGGATACATTCCCCACAATCTTTTGAACTTAAAAAAAATTTCCCAAGAAACCTTATTCTGAAGAATTATATTTTACACTCTTCTGGATACCTATGGAATTATGTCATACATGCTGCTCTTATGATATCCATCTCGTATCAGTTCTCAAAAGTATGTATTTCATTGTTTGTTTTATGCTTTTTCAGGGCTTCTGTGTATAGCAAATAAGAATCATGAAAAAGTGAAATATACCTTTCAAAGTCTGAACTTTTTTGCCCAGTGTGTAATGACAATTCTTCAAACAAATTTTAGATGTACAGTATGAATTCAACTTAATCTTATATTCTAACAATGATGAAATCACGAAATCATAATCAAAATATATAGTGACTTAAATCTAGGAGTAAGTTGCAAGTGGAGTAAATCCATTGAATCAATGGGGATTTGGTGAGTCAACTCGTCCATAAATTTCATTGATTCAATAGGCCTAGTTGTGATTTACTACTGCATTTCAACTGATTTATGTGAATTCAAGTTGATACTTTATACTGTACACAGTATAAAGTATCAGATTTTGCACACCAATAACTCTACCCTAATGGAAATCAGAAAGTGTATCTTTTGAAGTTATTCAACGTCCCTTAACAAGACCTTTAATATGGCACCACGTTCATCTGAAACACAACTTCCTTTAGTCAAGCCAACAGAAGCAGTTTTCAGGGATCATGTGAGTTATAGTTCAAACATCTTAGGATGACAAAGCTGCTTAAATTTAACCAAGGCAGATCTTATTGAATGCATGCTCCAATTTACTTCTAGAAAATGCACCTTTTGATTTTTTTGCCCACATGACTATGGCACTCTACCACATGGTCTGAGGAGTAGTTATATCCTTCCAATGATGTGACCTATGGACTCCAGCACTCAAAAAGTGCAGATTTTTGAGCTTTATAAAATAGAATTTAATTATTTGTGTAGGATAAGCAATGTTGAGGTTTAGGTCAGTAATCTCAGATGCACAGTAGCAGATTTTCATTCCATTTCCAAGCCACAACACTTTGAGATTTAAATCTCTTAATTTTAGCTGTAAAGATTATAGGGTGGCAATGTGAAATTTACAAGCTCAGTGAGATCAATGGTGAAGCAAGATTAATTAATTAATTAATTAATTAATTAATTAAATTTATATGCCGCCCACTCTACCCAGAGGTCTAGGATAAAAGACTGTTAGTAAATAACTTTCCTCCTAACGTATCTCACAAATTTGTTTAAAACCTTCTCTGCATTTAAGGCAAATTTATGAACATGAAGGTTATAACAAAACAAAGAACCCAGAAACCATCTTTAAATAGCTCTAAAAGGTTCAACAACTTACATTGTATGTTCTTGCAATATAGAGTACAGTACAGTGGGCTGGGCTGGATCCAAATATGACTTCTGCTAGCTAAAGGCTAAACCCAAATGAACCCAATTCCAGAGTTGTTTCCTTTATTTGTGCAAGTTCTTGTGTAAGACTTTGCACAAGCTCATTCTCAGGGCTTATTAGCACCAGCTAACTAGCACTTATGCATCAGAGTTTGTATTCCCCCTTTCCTTTCTTCCCTGCTACATTCTAAACACAATCCCTGATGCATTGTAGCACTTCAATGTGGGAATTCTTCCATTAGCTCTTGCATTAGTGGCACAACGTATATAGTATTCTTAACATTTTCTCATTCTCTTCACAATCCTTTGGATCTAAGTCATTGAATCTAAATATTCCTAATGCATATGTTCTGATTTATAACTCCTACAACGTACACCAAGACAATGAATTCTATCCAGTGTTGCATGTTGGAAGTCTATTTGCACACAGGACCGTTCTCCATTCTTCCTCCCTATTCTGGCTTCTAAGGATATGGCATGAAGAGCTGAAGTGGCAGCAGGATCTGCTCAAAATCAGGCAAAAGAAGCTGAGGTGAGCGGGAAATTGATCTTACAGATGTCTCTTGCTTGATTTTGGTTGGTGGTTCCCCTCCTACTCTAGCTCCACACACTACATTTAAGGTAATCTTAAGGGTCTCCTCCAGACTTTACGGGAGGAGACCCTCATCCAGGTTTTAAAGGGGGATACCCTTATCTAACAAGGAACTTCAGTTAGATAATAAACCTGCTTGACTGAGAAGACTTCTGAATTCGGTCTACAATTATACATATTAGACAAAACTCACTGTATTTATCTGTTTTTGCTGATTTTAATCTTGTCAGCTCTTAATGATATGAAGGATACAGCACATGCAAAACTAATGAAAATCAGAGAAAGATTTCAACATTTTAAAAAGTGGCAAGAACTGACTTTCTTCATTTTGACCAGTTCACTGATCAATGTTGACTATGATGGGCTTCATTAAATAACATTTTTAGTCCAAAAAACTGTAAGAATGTTTACTAGCAGAAATGCAGCATTTGCATTGAATCTAAGAAACTGACTACTGATCATAATGGCAGTAATTTCTAACACTAGCTCATTTCTCCTTTTTATAATGTTTTAAAGTAGTTTTCAGTTTATAGATCTCTCTAAACACACTATATTGCTGGTTATTTAATTTAGCTCAGCAGAGATGTATTAAGTTTTGTTGTAACTGTGAAACAGTACTAGAAAACCTCAGACAGAGGAGAGGGTTAGGTTACTACATTAATCTCTACTGGTGAATATTATTTCATGTTACATAATTTTTAATCTGTGCTATTTCTGTATGGAAGAATCTATTTCCATTTTTTAAAATGTTTGAAATCTTTCAAATAGAGAAAGAATTATTTATTATTTTCCATTTTATTCATAATTAAGAGCTCTAACACACTATAAGGGGGTCTACTGCAAAGACATATTGCAATATTTTGCTTTTAATTATCTTAATAAATTCAGAAAATGCCTAGGTTTACAAATCCCATGTAACAGTCTTTGCACTAACATTTAAAACAGCAAGATAAACAAAACATATTAAACACAGCAGTTCAACTCATTATTATTATAGGGGGGAGGGGACAGAAATGAAAGTGGTATGGCCCTGTTATTGACTGCATATATTGTAAAAATAACAGTTATCTCACAGTTTGTAATAAACTATTCAGAACTATTCCAGTTGGTTGTCTAGGCAAACTTTAACAACTGTTTACCTGAAACATCTTCAGCCATTCCTGGAGGCCTGTGGGCGGCTGGATAGATGTAATTCTACGCCGTTGCTGTCCTTGACCATTAGCTGCTCTGAGGTCTCCAAAAGTAGTTGGTGTTGCTGAGCAAGGGACAAGCCCAGTAGTGCTACAGAGGGGGGGAAGGCCAATACATTTGTAGGATCTATTTAGTTCTGGTAAACATAATGCACTAGTATCATAATTCACTGCTCTTTATTCAGGTAACCCTCATCATTGTTCTCTTATTCATTATTATTGTATTGTCCCACCACTCCTTCCCTGATGTTTTACGTTTATCTATAGTAGCTGACGAGAGGTGAAAATAAATTCAAGAATACGTAACAACAAAGACTGAAGATGAAGTTCACATCAATGGTATTTTTCACTTTCTTTTGTTAAACTTCAGACCACCATGTCACAGGACAAACCATTCTGAACCTGCACTTCATCTAATTTGAAGTAATTTACTATGAGATATGAGTACTGTTAACAAAAAAGAAGACAATGGCAAAAATCCTGTTGCTCAGGCTAGTAAATTGCACTAGAGTAGACTCAGTAATCAAAGGGAGACTTAGTCACCTCCTCCATAAATTCCATTGGCTCAAATGGGCTACTCTAATCCCAACGTAGTAAGTAAATCACATCTCTCTCTCTCTCTCTCTCTCTCTCTCTCTCTCTCTCTCTCTCTCTCTCTATCTATCTATCTATCCCTCTATCTATCCATCTATCTATCTATCTATCTATCTATCTATCTATCTATCTATCTATCTATCGTGGCAAAGCCACTACTCTGGGTAGCTAACAGGAAAAAAAAATCAAAACAACATAATATAATAATAATAATAATAGAAGCAACAATAAACATTCAAAAAGCATCATAGAAGGCATGCTCCCTAAAATATAACTTAAAAGGACTATATAATTACAAGAACAATAGGTGGATGGCAGAGAAGAGGTACACAAATTGAAAATATAGTCAAAAACGAAAATTAATCTGGGGCAAGGCTATGAAAATCTTTCAAGAACAGCCAGGTCTTGTTGTTTCCTAAAATCAAGGAGGGACTGGAGAAAACACCAAAGCAATGAGGCCACCACAGAGAAGGCCCAGTTTCAAGTGACAGATTTCCAGGCCTCCCTCAGAGTGGCCACTCAGCGCATCCCAGTATAAGAGGTGTGGATGGACAGATAAACATTTTGAGGGTGAGACACTCAGGCAATTAGAATAGACCCATTAGAATCAATGGGAATTGCAGAAGATGTGACTCATCAAATTCCCATTGATTCACTAGGTCTGCAATTTACTACACTAAGCCATGGGATTTTGCCTACTAGATACACTGATATATAACTAGTTGGGCAGTTGTTTGGATCCTGGTCAAAGTATAGCCTACTGAGGCATTGAAATATGTGTACACTAGTCACACAAGCAAGTGATACACTCTGGTCCCACCTTCCTATGTGTAGAGGGCAACATATTCATGGGATTTCTCCTGATATAGAAAATGTCCAACAATTAAGGGGGTGGGGCCTCTGGTGCAACTGTCCTCCACTACCTGGCATTGCCATTCACTGGGGGCAGAAAACACTCCACAATAGAAGTGTACATTTTGTTTTGTTTTACTGTTATTTCATCTTATTTTCTGGCTCTGGGCACCCACTTGATTGATTCTGTGTTCATACTTCTCTGGACATGGGACATTTTTACATCCCATGGTGAACTGGAATTTTCACTAGGTCAGAAAATATCCCAAACCACACAATGCAATTTTGTTTATCTAGAATATGATATGGGGGGGAGAGATGTAGGGCAAAAATAAAGTTTAATGAGAGTACATTCAGTGGTCATAGAACATTAAGCATTAGTTGGAAAAGATAACTGGATGGGGAGTGGAATGCCCTGGCTGAACAGTGTATGTTGGCTGACTCCAGGAACAGAAGCACTCCTGCTAGGAGGTGACAATATGTCAATACATTGTTGTAGGTTTTACCTGTGAATAATTAATGTGCAAGTGGTCCTTATTCCCTACAGTTAGCTCATATCTGTTGACAGTAGGTTTATGGTATTTCTGGCAATCTGCAAGCTCAGCATTTCTGTACTGTACCATTTGTTGATATGAGACTGAATTTTTTTCAACACAAACATTATATTGTAACAAAAAACTAAGTTTTCTGCAATTTGTACTTTAGAATCATTTTGAAAACTATAAACTACAGATAGAAGGATGCACACGTTTTGAATAATGATTCCAACTTCTGTGGTAGATGGCAGAATACAGGCAAAGCAATAGTTTTTGACTTTTGTCTAATTTTTGAACCTGTCATCTTATATTATTTAGAGTGCTTAGAGTGTGTGAACATTATGACTTCCAGTTATATACTTGGTATTTCATTTACAGCATGACTATACACAGCTTTGGCAATAAACACAACTAAAATGAGGTGTCTGAATATCTCAAAGCTGAATAATTGCAGCCAACTGAAAAATAGTTGCTTTTATCACGTCTTTCACTGGACAACTAGGATCACAACTAGAGTAGGCCTACTGAAACAGTGTTGATTTGATAAGTCAACTCCTCCATACATTTCATTGACTTCATGGGCCCAGTCTAATTGTGACTTGCCTAGCGGTTCGAAAGCATGCAAATGCAAGTAGATAAATAGGGACCACCTCGGTGGGAAGGTAACAGCGTTCCGTGTCTAAGTTGCACTGGCCATGTGACCACGGAAGATTATCTTCGGACAAAACGCTGGCTCTATGGTTTGGAAACGGGGATGAGCACCGCCCCCTAGAGTCGAACACGACTGGACAAAAATTGTCAAGGGGAACCTTTACCTTTACCTTTATTGGATTTAAACCTGTATGTTTCTGATTTGTCAAGGTAACATTTTAGTTAAAGTGATGGCAAACCATCAAGTGATGTTCCTTTTTTGGCCACTCCATTCCTAAAACTACAAATCTGCAAAATGTTTGCTGCATAGGTACCACAAGTTTGAATAGTAAAGAATTATACGGGTGGACAGATTTTTCGGTCACAGGTTCACTCCTTAACATCTATAGTCATAATGACTGCAGAAGGTGGTGTAAGAAAAACCTATGATTGAAAGAGCATAAAATGTAATAGCATTAAACAAAACTGAGATGTACCAACAGTCTGACTCTGAACAGGGTAGATTTTTACATTCAAAAGCACTTCATTTATTTACAGTCTCTTTTGTATCTGGTTCATAAAAGCTGTAATGTAAAGCCCATAACATCTTCTAAAAACAGGGCCAGCATAAAAGAGGGGAAGTTAACATTTTAAATATTAAAAACATATATAAGTATAAAACATAATTTAATGCATTTCTTTTTAATATATTACCATAGGACTAGTCATTATCTAAGGGAAATGACTCTGTTTTCATTCACTTGATTAAAGAGAAGCAATGTCACTGAAGGCATTATTAGATTTTTACAGGTGTTGGATGCTTATATTAGAGGCATGCCACAGATTTACACTTCCCATTTGAATCCAAGAAGGGTAATACTGGGTACATTGACACTGTCTTCAAAGACAGGCTGAAATCCAGCTGGTACAAATCCGTTATGTAAATGGTGATGATGCCATCACACTGGAATATTAATCTTTATTTTATTTGCATTTAAATCTTCTTGAAAAAAAGGGATAGAAAATATTAAATCAAAATAAAGATTAACACTGCCAGGTGATGACATCATACTTACTTACACATGGTGGAACTTGGCAACAGGATTTCAGCAATGTTTTCTAGGAACAGACTGCAGAAATGTATTTTTATAAAACATTCAAAATAAATATTTATTACTTGGAATGCAAGAACAAGCATCCACACCTCCATAGTTAATCAGTTATCTATTCTTTATAATTATACCATGCTGAACTTATACATCTAAGAACAATTTTAAAATTATTTTTAAATGGATATTGTATATTTCAACTCCTAACATGCAATTCAAAAGGAAGTTCAAATCTAAATAATAGCTAAATGGTCAATGAAAAGCAATCTGTTGCAGTAAGAAAGTTTTCCAGTGAGGCAAACTTGTATATGACAAAATTTATTTAGTTGTTATCGTAACTATCAAGTAGTGAAGTTGAATTGTATGCACTACTGATAGTGAAATTCTCAGTCAAAAGAAAGTGATGCTAAGTGGACAAGTCTGTCTCATGATGGATGGATGTCTCTTTACAAATGGAATACCACTTTGTGGAGAAATTTTTGTTTAATGTAAGTCAGGAACTAGTATTCTGTCACATGCAAAAAGGCTTTGATTAACATCAGATATGTTTGTCATATATTCAAACTGCTATAGTAAATTAATAAATATCTTGGTCTCCAAGTTTTTTCTCATTGCTATTAATGCCCTGAGAAACATTCATTATACATTCCAGTTCAGATGTGAAAACCCTTGACACTTGTTCACATTTCAGTAATTTGAAATAAGGTACATGTTAATTGGTGTAAACACGCAAGAAGTGCCTGCACAGGAAAGTACAAGATGCAGTGATATACATTTAATCAGATGTCCTGCCATTAATTAACTTACCTTGTATATTCAGAGACTTTGCAGGGCTTCTTTCCCAGTGAGAAAGAACGGACCTCAGAGCCATGGTCTAACTTTCTCTTCATCTGTAAAATGGGAAAAGAAAGGAAAATGGGTTATGTTAGCCTGTCATCTTAAGTTAGGCCATTATTAAACAGGTTAATGATATTTTGCTTGTACCTGAATATATTGTTAAGAAAACTGTAAATAACTTTTTTGATGTAACTGTTTACTTTGTATTTTTATTTGGTTTGATGGGATTTACCAAAACTATTTTTTCATACTCTCTCGAATGTCAGATGTGAACAGTAAAATTATCATTCTATGTGTCATCCCCTTTGATAACCTCTGAATATTACAGTTAGGACACATTTTATGTAGAAGAACAAATTATAGAAACCTACTTATGACAGTTCCTCATAATTTTAAGACCAGAATAAATTAACATGGCTTTAAGAAAACAAGCAGCATATCCTAACATGGAAATAGCACAAAGTTATACTATAGGGTAGGAACGTTTTCAATCACAGTCTTAAAAAAATTATTACAGTATTTTTTTCCAATAAAAACAAGAATGATATATCTGCTGAAAGAGAATGGTACCCAGCAAAGAACACTAAGTGAGACAAATGTGTTAAGAGTTAATAAAGCTTATAGACCAAGGAAGTTTCCAAAGAGAAATGTTAGATTACCAAATGAAATACCACTAAGCTATCCAACAGTTAATACTAATGATGTCTAGACCTAACAAAAAATTGGAAACACCAATACATGAGGTGGAACTGTTTAGGCTGCAGCACTAGTAGTTCAAGAACTATGCTGCCTATGTGTCTGAGGAAGTGGGTTGAAATCCATGAACACTCTTAAAGATGCCATGGTACTTTCCTTTTTGTTTTGTTATTGTTTCTGCTGTTGACAAAGATTAACACAGCTATCTCTTTGAAAAGATGATGAAAATGGTATGACACACATATATACTTCCACACAGATTTAAATATGCAGTATGATAGTAGTATTAGTACTACTGTTAGGTTTATTTTTTCACAACTACTTAAAATGACTAGTTCTATTCCAACTGTTGGGTAGTAATACCAAGGGTGCACAGCCCTTCAAAAACTGATGTTCATTTTCATGTATTCTTTCACATGGGATATTTACCACATATTGTGGCACTCTACTGACACCAAAGATGGACATCTCAGAAGTGCATTTACACGCACAAAGTAAGCATTCTCTTGATTCCGCACTTACTCATACTATGTTGTTCATGCTTTATGTCTTATTTGCATAATGTTCTGTTTAAACTGGTATGCTTATCTATTTTATTTTTATAACAGTGAAAAAGCCTTATCTTGCAATCATCCTTATTTGTGCAGCTCACATGGGACAAAACACAACAGGCTACCACACAGTTTGCAAAAGCCTAAAGCAAAACAAAAACAACAACAACAAAAAAAACTTCTTTACTAGCAAGCTCTGTCTCTCTCTAAACCAAGGCTGAGAATAATGGAGACCATCTTTTTATCCATGTAGAGGGAATGTTAGGAAAACCATGTGGAAACTACGTCTCATATTTAGAAAGAGGCATATTAATTTATTGTATGGCACCACACTGCTAAAATCAACTTGCATCTTTGGAAAAAGGATTCACATACTTGAAGCTTTTAACCTCCATTAAAAATTAAACTGCTTTCCCCAGAGGATATCATTATATGCTAAGAGTACTATTTCTGCTTCTGGCTGTGGAAAGGTTTATTTTTTCCTCAACAGATTAATACTGGGAATCAAAATACAGTAGTAATGCCAGCATATGTATTAAAGACAACTTTATTTTGTCAGAACCACAGGAGACATTCTAAACAACCGTCAGTCCCTGTACTTGCCTAAGGATGTAAGCAAACTCCTGTTTTCTCAATATTTGTAAGAAACTTTTTCCATCCCTTTTAAGTCTAGGTTGTGAAACATGCAGGAGCTCAGCACATCAAACAGTGCCAAATACCTTAATAAACTTAATACCTTATCATATTAAGCAGACATTTATTCTCATTAGAATGATCCACTATACTGATTTTGTGAAATTAAAAAATGTGTTCCACAAATGACTGAGGAAACACTAAAATTCTCTAGGAAATTGTTAACAGTTTTGAAATTAACAGACCCTGCAGCCTGTTTTCTGCATGTCTAGTGGGAATAGACCATAACACTGAAAGATTTCATACCATCTTTAAAATGCCTCTTTGATATAAGCTTTACATGTAAACATCAATGCTATTTGCATCCAAAGCCATCTGGGCTATCGAAATGAAAATAAAATACCCGGGGCAATATTATAAACATACAGAATGAAGCTCGCTCTTTTTTTAAAAAAAAACAAGCCTAAAGTGCTCAGCTGAATAAGAAGAACCAGTTCAGCCAGAGGTAAATTATTCTTAGCACCCTTTGAGTTCTAATGCACATTCCTAAAATAAAAGGATTTTGCATCTCACTGAACCTTTTCATTTTCTGTCTTTATTCAGCATACAGAATGTTAAGCATCCAGTCACCCACTAAGGGGGAGGGGGGAGAGATACTGCAGCCATCTCTGATGATACAGATTTTTCCTTCTTCATACAACACACACACACACACACACACACACACACACACACACACACACACATGCATATATAAAGAAAAAAAAGCAGTTACTTACTTTGTAAAAAATCATTTTTAAAGTGCCGTAGAAACCCATGTTTTCGGTATTTTTCCCCTTCAGAGAGTCCGTGCCCCTGTGTGTCCGGCTGCTGGGTAGTCTCTGACAGTATAAACCTTTTTCAGGTAGATATGTCACAGACTCTAATGTGGACATGCTCGGGCACGTCGGAAAAGGAAGATTAGGCAGCAGAACCAGCAACCCAACTCCACTGTGAACCACAACGAAGCTCAGGATCTAACAGCTTCTCCCAGCACACATACATACGTAGAGACTGTCTGAGAAGAACTTATGGGAATAATGGGAGAAGGGGGGGGGCGATTACTGAAGAAGACTTTGTACTGTCAAAGCCTTGAATGAAGAGATTCCTCCCTTTGTAGCACGGAGATCAGATTACATCTTCCCTCACGCTGAGAATGGTGCAGTCCAAGCTTCAGCAATGCAGGCTGCACATCAATTATATGGTGCTCAGCTCCAAGGAGCCTGTGAGCACACAGCATGGGAAGGACTTCGGCAGGAAATTAAACCAGCCCCATGCCATCCTCACATTGGCCACTGGGTTGCTGGAAAACACTGAATATCTAACTATTTTTTCAAGCCTGAGTAATTCAACCCCCCCTTTTTTTTAAGCAAATAGGACAGCACTGGATAATTCAAAATTACTAGCTCATGCAAGACCAATTATTTTCACTAATTATAGCTATATCTGGCCCTACGGCAAGCTGACCAGACCTTTATGTCAACAAATCCAAATAGGCACAAAAACTACTGCATTAAAATGCAGTTAATTTTAAAATAACAGGAGACGAGCATTTCCTTTGGCAAATAGCCTACATTTCTCCTTTAAAATAATAGCAGCAATTTGCAGTAGAATTTTTTAACAGTCAAACCAGAAATAAGTGACATCTAGTAGTTGAATTTAAATATGAATTCTCTCTAGAATGATTTTTTAAAAGTTTTATTTCCAGAGCTTTGGAACAGATGAGGGAACTCAAAAGGTCATCTATGCCATCCTAAACTGACTAGAATATAAGTAAATCCTTCACTACATTTAAAACATATATTGAAACCAGTTATTCAGAAACCTCCAGTGATACCTTGGTACTACAACTATCCTCTCCCAAGTGTTTCATATTTTAAATCTATATCGTTGTTAATGTTGTTATACAAATCCTTCTGCCTATGTTATTTTCTTCAAATTTAGAATAAGAAATTGATTGTAATTACATTTTTGGTTACATTCACACAACACCTTTTCTTCCACCATTAGGTGATTTCCCCCTATCCTCATTTCTTAGAGAAACTTGCAATCAGTATGTAGTTTACTAAACCATGAACACTTTTACAAGATCCCGATCCACTGGGGTCAAAACAATATAGATACTTGTTTGTATCACAGTGGGAGAAAAGAGCACAGCATTATAGTGTAGTTTCTAAATATACAAATATAAAATATCAAATGAGCCTGTTAAATCTACTGGAAATACCATGTCTTGAAAATGATACTTCTGCTACCGCTGATACACTGCAGTATGGCATTTGTATGGAAGTATGCTCATCTTTTCCCCCAGATGGCATTCTTGCCATTAACACAGTGTTCCTTCCCGTCACTGTATTATAATATGAAATATTAGGGGAAAGCCTCCAAATTTTCAAGTAATTCTTTTATCCTACAACTGATGTTAATGCAACTTTAAATGAAATCTTTTTCAGTCTATTTTTGTCTCTAGAACCTGGTTCCTAACTGTCTGTCTGTCTATGAATGATGCAAATATATACAGTATACATTGCAGCTTTCTTTATACGATACATTCAAAATGTCTATCCTGGAACACAACTTCTAGTTGCAAACAAAATCTGCAATGCATACCTGTGCATGCTATTCACAAACAATCTTAGGAACCTATAATTTTGCTTTTGAATTGGCTACTTTAAAAAATAACAAAAATCACACTAATGCAAAATTTTATTTGGTGTTCATATAAAAAACACATGCACATGGATGAAAGAATCCTGGCACAATCAAAGTTGCTAAATGCATATAAAGATATGTAAGATGCTTGTAGCTGCTGTAAGCAACACAAGTGTATCACAACAGTCATAAGGTGTAAAACTACCCACCACCAGTAGGCTGAAAACTGACTTGCTGGTGGGTGATGCTAGCTTTCAAGCAATATTCTTCACATATTCTCAATCATTTGCCATTCATATTCAGTAATGAAATTGCCATTCCTGCATAGGCTCTAGTCTTATTTCCATGATGAAAAATGTCCCCTACTAACCTGAATATAAAATGAGCCAGAAGAAAACCTAGTCTTACAGAATTACCATCAAATCTACCTAAACTGTTGGATTAAACTGTAGAAAATGATTATTGTGGTTGCAGTTACTTAT